AGCAGGAAAACATTGGCAGCAGAATGCACTTAGCACTCATGTCACGGGTCTCCAGAGTGGTGCAGGATTGTTAAGTGCTTTGAATGAACTCTTTTATAACCTGTATTTCCGTAGCTCTGAAGTAAGGCTTTTAAACTGTTCCTGCATTGAATAGTAAACCAGTCACAATATCAAGTCCTTTTTTTCTCATTTTCAGAGAAGATAAGATTTGAATAGAAATTGATGGGAGGTGTATATTGCTTCAGATGGTAAAATCAGTGAGAAAATCTCATGTGCATACAGCTAGCTGGAGCAGTGGGAAAAAGCCAGTAACACAAGCCCATTCGTTTTCTGAAGCTCCTGGTATTACTACTTTTGAATGCAACTTGGCCCAGCGTCACAGAAAAGAGCTGTGTTCCCTGGTGCCCTCTGCACTGCCTTCATAAGCTGCTGCCAACACCCACCTCATCCCTGGGCGTCCCGTGGGACTCAGATGCTGTTGCCCAGGGCTTACACAGGTCAAAGTGTGAAAAAAATGACTTAGTATTCAGAGAAAAGCTATTAAAAGTACAGTATAATATATTGTCCTATGGGATTGTTTCTCTCTGTCTTGCATTGACCAGTTCACTCTTAAACAAATTTAGGCTTTAATTGCATGTTTGCTCTGCTGGCATAAAGATTGAGGGTTTGGCCCCTTCTTCTTCCAGTGGTGTTTGTAGTCCAGTGAAATGGTTTTCTGCTGTTGTTTTTTGTTGTGATAATGCCTAAAACTAGGACTGAGTAGAAGAATAACAATATAGATTTAAAAAGTTGTATATTAGCTGCTTACTCTGAATTCCCAGGAAATGGGTGAGCAATCTTATTCTTACAGCTTCATTAATTGGAAGGGGATCTGTCCTCCAGGTGACTGCCAAAGACATTTCCTTCAAAAAGTTCATGTGTTTGTAAAAGTGAAATAGAAAGAGGGAGAAAATTAAGGCTATCTGTGTCATCAGCAGCTGAGTTTTATTAAAATTGTGCATGCAGCTCTTGTGTGGGTGTCAGAGACAGGACTGTACGGCTCCCAGGAGTATCTTATGCAGGATGGGAAAGGGCAGGAAATGGAGTCTTTCAAAAATCAATGGGTAATCATACTTTTGAAATAATACTTTTGAAAACAGAAGTTTCAGAAACTTTTGGGAGAAGTCTTAGCGTGATAATAAGTTATATAAATGTATTAATACATCCATGCAGACCATACATATTTAAGATGTACAGTCTGCGTAAGGTTGTACTATGCATAGACTCTGTATTTCATTTCAGTGTTACTGATGTGCTCTGTGTGCATAAGGTGCCAAAAATCTGAGTCTTGGTTTTAAGGGTTAATATAATTTGTAAAGTTGGGGGTGTTGTTTATTCCATTATTCCATTCCTCCAGTTGGAGGAATGTATATAGTAGTTATCCCTTTAATTTCAGTATTCGTTTAATTAATGGTTGGAAAAATATAGCTTTTTGTGACATATAAATGATGGAGAGAGGACAATTTAATTCTCACTTAGCTGGGAGGATAAATTAGCACATATGTTCCAGGTTACTCACCAAACAGGTACATGTTTTCTTTACAGAACTTGGATATCTGAGTTCAGTATTTTGTCTGAATTCAGGAAGCTTTGTCTTGAAATAGCATATTGACTGAAGTTAAATATGTGCCATGCAGAGGTGAATAATGTGTGGAGGGGTAAAAGGCAGTTAAATGTTCTTCAAGGGATTTTGTGCCAAATCCATATCTAAAACTCCTCTCAATCCTTTTGTATTTCTGATATCTTCAAGAAGGTAATTCACTGTGGCCAGGCAGTTGAATATTAAAATTCAGAAAGCTGAAAACTTTTTTTTTTTTTTTTTAACACGGGATCTTATAGTCCTACATACAGCACTCCTATTTCTTGAAAAAAGTTGAGGGATTTTGTGTATGTATGTCTTAAGAAATTAGTACTGAAAATTAGAAGTTAAAATTCAGTTTGTTCTGGAATGTAGCAATTATGTCAGACTTTTTGGATATGCTAAACCTTTTTAATTGCTTACTTATTTTAGTGCTGCTGAATTTTGAAAGAGTTTGGTTCCCACTTCAGCAGTGCTGGGTACTTCTTAAAGCATCTCATGACACAGGCCTCTTCATCTGGATGTTGAGGCCAAAGTTTTGAAATCAGACTAGGTGGTGTTCTTGGCATTCTGATTCTAAAACAAATACATTTGCTTCCTGAACAAAGGAGTCTTGCTGTCCTGCTCTTCAGGTTTACACCTGGAGCATACCTATTGCCCTAGAGTCATGTAAGATGGAAAGGACCTGTGGATGTCCTGTGGTCCAGCCCCTGGTTCAGGGCGAGTCCAGTTTGAGCAGGCTGCTGAGGGCATTGTCCAGTCACATTTTAAATATCTCTGAGGATGGAGGTCCCACAGACTCCCTGGGTAGCCTGTTGCAGCATTTGAGCATGCTCATGGTAGGTTTTTTCTCTCCTTAGAGCTGGCATTTCCCATTATGTCTTCTGCCTCTTTTCCTTTCCCTCTGTACTTCTGGCAAGAGTCTGGCTCCAACTCATATATGCATCATCAGGTAGTTTTAGACAGCAATTATATCCCCCCTGAGCATTTTAAGGCTGAACGAGTCCGTCTCCTTCAGCCCTTGCTCATGTGGCCTGTGTTCCAGTGGACCTAGCCGCCTCCACTGCTCTCCCTCCAGTAAATTTTGTCCTGAGGAGCCCAAAATGACACACACTGCTCCAGATGCAGCCTCTTAAATGACGAACAGAGGGAAAGATTGCTTCCCTGGATCTGCTGACTACTCTAACGCAGCCCAGTATGCAGTTAGCCACCTTTGCTGCAGGGACACTCAGCTGGCGATGTTCGACTTGGTGTCCACCAGCACCCCACATCTTTTTATGCTTTCCAGCTGATTTATCCCTGACTTATACTGGTTCATGGAGTTATTCCTCCCTGAGTGCAAGACTTAGTATTTGGCCTTGTTGATATTTGTGAACGCAGTAGATAGTAAGTAATGTCCACTTTGTCTCATTGGGTTTAACACCCTGGGTCAAATTCATACCTATGAAGTAACCTTGAAGTATGTGATTGTACCAGGTACAAATTAGAGCAGAATTTGATCCTGTAGATGCTTAGGTTTCAGTCTGACATTACACCTGACCCAGTGTAACTACAGTCTGCTACTGAAATGAGTAGCTTTGCTCTCCCAAGAACCCTGACCATATGCTTCTCTTAATTTTCTTATATAAAATTTAGTTGACTGTTCAGCCACAGAGTCAGATCAGCAATTTAAAGAGCAGAAGACCATCCGTGCGCTCTGAAAAAGTTGAATATTTTCTTTTGGCCCAGAAAGGTTGAATGACTTGCCCACAGCTGCATAGGTTGAGGCATGGTGCAGAGAAGCATAAGACCAGGACCAGACCTTTCAGTGTCAGCACACAGTTACTCTGCATCAGGCTGATGGTGGTTTGATGTTTTACAATATAATTTTGTTGGTGAGCTCCAGTTGTTTCTGGGTTTACAAATATTGTAGGCACATGGATAAAACAAAATTCACTGGGAAATGAATCATGGTAATACATAGATGAAGTATTAAAATCCTACAAGTCATTTCAGAGAGCTGCTTTAAAGATACTCTTAATTCTCATTTTAAAAATAGATTATCCAACTGTGAAAATCACACTGAATATTTTTGAAAGGATAAGTAGCTAATTAAAACTCATACCTAGCAATGTTCAGTGGGTGACTGGTGGTGAGATGTTGTATTCGAAGGCAGATACACTGCTCTTAACCTACAATGCTATATATAGTCCTGCTCACAAGTTAGAGCTCAGAAACTGAAACCTCGTTAATTGACTGTTACCACCTTCTGTTGTGCCTTCACATGTACTGGCGTCAAAATCCTCGAGCAGAGCTGCTTGTGAAAGGGAGAGGTCAGATGTTACAGAAATACTGGCAAATGTGTTGTGTATGAATTCTGGATTCCCAATGAAGAAGATAGTGAAGCAAACTCTGAGACTTGATTATGGATTTAGAAGACCACTGAGGGAAGGCAACGTCTGCCTGTACGTTTGGGCAGATAACTTCCAAGGAGGATTTCCCTGATTTTTTTAGAGTAAGGCATCTTGCAGATGTGGAAAACTTAGTAGAGAATTGAAATTGATGCTCTCGCCCATCTGAATGGAAGGGCATTGTGATTTGTTATTAATCCCTTAGAAAATAAACCAAGAAAGATACATTTATGGGCTAAGAAAGCCCTCACATGCCCTCCCCTCTAAGGCTCTGTGGCATGCTATGGTGCCTGTGAGCTTTGGCATGTTTTCTGGGTGTTATCTACCTGGCTCTGTGACATAGGAGGTCAATTATCCTATTCTTCTCTTCTACTTTTAACATATTTTCTTTCAGAATATCTAGTTGCCTAATGTAGGTGTAGCAGAGCCAATTCAAAGTGATTGGTCTTTGCTTCCAATTTACTCGATGCTTGGTGCACCTGTTTGAGATGAGCTTCTGTGTTCAGCTGGCAGTTCAGCTGGATTTTTGTTAGGTAAATCGTTGAGTCAAAAAAATGTATTAAACTTCCCTCTGGCTACTGCTCCTAATATACTAGATTCTCAGTAGTCATGGTCATTCTTCAGAGCAGTGAATCATTAATGGCTTCCTGTACATCACCATCTCCAGGATTATTAATGGTGTGAAGCCTGCTGTTCTACTGAGATGACTCATGAGAGCCCGGTTGGGTCATTAGCTGAATCCCAGTCTTGGTCCCTGTAAAGACTATAGCAAAACTACTTGATATTAATATCCTGCCCAGGCCATGCCACTATGCATAAAAATGAAAGATGTTGTTTGATTGTGTCTGTGGAGCAGATTACTGGTTTTGTGAGGATTTAATTTGGAGCAGATTACCAGTGGTCATAATAAATCTATGGATATCTGTAAATCATGATGAGATGTCTTCCTAAAAACCATGTGGGAAGTTGATTACAAGTTCTCATCTCAGTTCTGGAACAGTTGAAATTCCTTGGCTTGTGCCTTTCCAGGTCAATCAATAGTGCTAAGTTCTAGACTTGATTTTGTAATATTTTGTTAAAATGAAAACGTGATTAAATGTTTTCTTTCATACTCGAAGCAGAAAACTAAGACAGCATTTGGATTATATCCCACCAGTTTTGAGAGGTTTTGATAATTAATAATTAATTTTTATTATCTATATAGAAGTGAATTGTGTACTGATTTTTATTCAAATGTATTTATGTTCGTTTGTGTAAACTTCTGGGGTGCACCAGATGACCTCCAGAGATCCTTTCCAACCTCAACTGTTCTGTGATGTTCATGAAACCTTTTTATTATTGCATGTATTAGAAGGCTCAGCAACTTTAAGCAGTATAAAAATCTGTTGCAAATATCAGTTGTGACCTAAAAAGAACATTTTTTTTTTTAATATATGCATAACACAGGAGCTTGCTGCTGCTGGATTGCTGCAAGACGGGACAGACTTGCTGCTCACTGGAGCGGTGTGGCTCCATCACATCCTGTCTGTGGTACTAGAGGCAGTGTTTACTTCTGATCAGGTTATTGAATAAAATCCATGATAGAAAATCCTCTCTTGAACAGGTAGAAATTTAGGACTCCTGAATCTGTACTAACATGGGGCTGCACCTGTTTGTACCAGAATCACACAGGAAGCATTTAGTTGTGTCAAAGAGCAAGACAATTTTAAAGGCTATTTCCATAAAGTATTTTTCCTTATCTTAACTTTAGGTAAGTAAGAACGTAGCAAGTATGTGGAGTATAAAGGCATTAGTGAAGGGGGGAAAAAAAAAGGTGAAAAGCAGGATTCGTTATCAGATATCCAAAGAATACCCATATTTAAACTCCATGTGTCCTCATGATTTTTAAAGTATTTCCTATGGCCCAAAATGGAGGGCAGTGTTGAACAACTATTTAGCTGGTTTAAAACAGATTTTAGTAACATTCTTTAGAAACAAAGGACAGCATTGCTTTTGTTCTCTTTTTAAGCAATAAAAATTTTCTTCTAAATGCAACACAAATGTAGAATAAGCCTCTCTTGGGTTATTTAGGGAGCAAAATAATGTTTACACTTAGCAAGAGGTATTGTTTTAGTGAAGACAACATCTCAATTGGTATTAATTTGATAACATTTGTGAGGGAATGTCATGGAGAGTTTTAATGAAATGTTAATGAAATAATCTGATCAGATGGACTTCACCATGAGGCAGAAGGCCTGTGTTATGTTTGTGCCCCACTTAAGCCATATTTTGATAGCTTGCTTGGGATTTAGTTGGACATGAGCTTTGGGTGGAGTGAAATGTTTTTCTAAATCCTCACCATCGTTTGCTATATTATGAAGTGATTTGTCCATCTGGTCCTCTTAGAGAAAAAATCCTCAGCAGTTTCTGTGTCCAGACAAAGCTCATGGCAGAAAGCTTTTTGTTTTAAGGACATTGATAAAAAGGAAGGATTTAATTAAGTGTAAGGAGAGCTGTTGTTGAGTAGAGCAAACAAGTAATGTAGACGCTTTTGGTTTTATAACTGGGTTAGATTTTCTGCTATGAGAGTTCATTGACATTGCTTTCTGAGCATATGGATTAAGAGAAAGACTTTGATATTATCAAAGTTGGGAGGACAAGTGCTCTTTTTTTTAATGACTTTAATAAAAGTCATCGTTCTTGTGCAGCATTTTAACAAAATGAAAGCAGCTGCATTTGCCTGTACTTGCTCCCTGTAATTCCAATTTTATTTTCATTCTGTAACTGATCCTGTTAGTGATCAACTCTTGCTGATACTATGTTTCTTAGATACACAGGGATTTGGACTTGAGTGATCAGTGTGGTTTTGTATTTTAGTAGTTATTTTTTTTCTAAGTAGCTGTTAACATCTTCATTTGTAATTGTCTGTTTGATATGTTCCTTCGATACTCTACCCTCCAAGTGCCTGAAAAATTGTGAATGAGAACTGGGCAAGCAGAGAAAAAGAAACCAGAGTAATAATCAGTTCCTTTATGGAAAGATATTTCATTTCAATAAAAGTGTGAGACTGTAAACTGTTTGCTTTTGTTTCCTCTGTTGTAGGCTGCCTTTCCCTGCGGGCGACCGCGTAACTTTTAACGGGAAGGAGTGCATCTGCCAAAAATGTTCCTTGCCCCCTTCCAGCAGCACTGGCTCTTTCCCGATACAGAACCTGCGAAGTAAGTGGAGGTTTCTGCTCTTTTCCGTTGGTACTTCTTAGTCTGCACAGGTTGAAATAGCAAAATCTAACACCAATATGTGTAACTGGGACTTCTGCCACTATGCTGTATAAAAGATGTCAAGAAATACAATGTAGTCATGTGAAAAAAGTATATGGTAGTTTTATGAGAAAGTCTGATATTAAAAAGAAGCCCAAATGGTGCCGTTATAGGGTTAACAATACACAGAATCAAAACATTTGATTAAAACTGAAGTAAATAAAATAATTTGGAGAGAGGCATAATACAGATTTGAGAATTTAGTCCAACTCCAGCTCAAATAAAATGCAACATGAGATTTAATAATTTGTGTTACAGTATTCCTTCAGAAAATATCAGTGACAGGACTGAATGGCTAAATACTACACAGGAAGGGTTAATGTATGCACTGTGACCAGAGGGACATTTCCCTTGACCTCAGTACTACTGTGTACTATTAGAAGTTACAAACACTGCAGAGAAGAAATGTGGTCTTTTCATACCACCTTTTTTACAGCAGATCATAGAGTGGCATTGTTGCTCTGAAATCTGTTCCTCTGCTGATTTGTTCATGAGAAGCTTCCACACTTTAAGAGTCAACTACTGCCTTTATGTAATTAAACAGCAACATCAATTCAGTTGAACAGCAAAGACAGAGATATTTTTAATGACTGTCACATCGTATCAAGCTGGATTCAGCATGGCTGAGGAGGGGCTCCATAGATGGCTCTTCTTTGTGTATGAGGAATTCAGCCCACTTCAGGGAGAAATCTCTCCTTTCTTTTCCTGTTCCCCCGCCCCCCCATCTCTCTACAGAAGTTTTCATCATCTCTTTTCTCTAGTTTCTCATCAAAAGCTACTGTGTGAATGCAGCTGCTGTGAATGCAGAATGCTATGTTGATTCCTCTTTTGCCAATGCTGTTGTCTTTTGGGGAGGGGATGTCTCTCTCTTAGGTGCTTTCTCTTGTCACTTATTCTGGAGATGGATCATCCTCAGCCATCTTGGCTGGCTGCGTTTGCAGATCCTTACTTTAATGGCCTATCATCAGTTTGTCTCCTTGTCATATGGGAAAAGTGCCTTTGACTTTAATGAACATTATTTGCCTGATTGAGTACTGACAGAACAAGTTCATTTGATTATCTGTGATGCAGAATCTTTTAATCTGCTTACATTCCCTTTCTCTGTACACACACCCCCCCATGGAGTTCTTGCGTTGCATGTCCTCTCTCAGGTCACTGCACCAAGTATCCCCAGCGCGCTGGTACCTGCAAAGCGCAGCAAACCACTTGCCTCAAAGGGAAATAGCACTGGAAGTATATCTTTGTGGCAAAACACAACCTTGGAAAACAAACTCTTAGCTTTTCCCCAAGTGAAATCTCAAACATATGTATTTAAACCTCAGATACAGGTCTGCTTTAAATCTCTTTAGAATGGATCAAGTCTTACCATAGGTTTCAGTGGAATTGGTTAGGAGTCTTAGTTCAAACTTGGATGATACCTGCCACACTGTAGACTGGACTTATAAAGGAATTTGGTCTTGTCTTCACCTGAGGCTAACCAGCTCTGCTTTTCAAACAATGTACTGATGGGGCTGAGCTGATGGGTGTAATGACTTCTCAAAGTGCAAACTGAAGTCCATATCTGGCCTGCAAGTAAATTGTGCTATGATGTTGCCAGGTTCCCGGATAAATAACATTCTTACCTGTGTAGACTGTATCCTTTCTTATCTCTTCCTTACTCCGTTTCCCCCGTGTCTTATAGTGCAGCTACAGGCCACCATCTTCTGATTTCATGGTGACATGCAGCACCCAGCTGACCCAGGAGCTGTGGAGCTCGTGATACTCAGGAAATTGGATAGCAATGGTATAATTCCTCCGTGGCGTGGGGGATAGAGCTTTGATGGGTCAGTGGGAAACACATGCTGCCACAAATACATGGAGGCGCCTACATGTGTATGTAGCAGGGTATGTGAAAGCTTGACCAATGACAATACACAGAAAATTAACGAAATATCTAAAAATACAACAAAGAATTTGGCAAGCATTCAGAGCAATGTGTAGCACCAGCTGTTTTCCAAGCACCTAATCCTTAGGCTAGAACCAGTGTTTCAGGAATAAACAAGCAGCATCAGACACATCTTGGTTGAACTGGAAAACTAAAGGTCCGTAATGGCTGTCTTTAGCTATGCTGCATATTACACAAAGCAATAAACGCTGTGTCCCTTCTTGAAAGAGACCTTAATGTTTTAAACAAACAATTCTTTTTATGACACAACAGTAGTGCACAAAACCATGCGATTTTCAAGCAAGCTGAGTCAAGAGCCAAGTAATACACTGACCCACTGTTACATTGGTTTTGCTTCTGGCTCAGAACTGCCTGATATGTCCTGTGCCTGTTAATTCGTCAGCTTAGTTATCTCTGACTCTAGTTTAAGAATGCTTTCAGATCTCTTGGGACTCTATGAGCTCCCTCCCAACATCACTGCCTCCTCTGACCAGTCCTTCTGTTTTCATCCTCCCACTTTGGTTTTGACCTCCTTGATGCATTACATTTGGAAGAAATGAAGACTGTTAAATATTTGCTTTTTGCCCGAGTCCTTGATTTTTTTTTTTTTTTAATTATTATATATATACCTACCTACCTGTTTTGTTTTGTTTATAAAACGCTAGCTTCGAAAACCTCTTGTGGCAGTGTTGATGCTGAAAGAGTACTCAGAGAATATCAACATGTAGCAGCAAATTGATGTGTTCTTCAGAGTTATTGGTTGAAATTAGATGAGTCATCAAAGGATGCTGCATCCAAGACAGGAAGACAAGGACGTCGTATCGGTAGGCACTGTTGGCATAGCAACCACAATATTTGTTTTTAATTATCTGGAACTTAACAGAGAAAACAGCAGTTGGGAATAAAAAATGTAACTCACAAAATGCTGCATTTCTGCCCACCCAAGCTTAAGCCAGATGAAAGGTGAATGACATCTGAGCATGCAGTGTTGTATTAAGTTAGTGAAATAAACCCTCAACAGTGAGATTGAATTAGATTACCAGATGAACCCCTGGTGAAGGGGAGATCACAAACAAATCTCTGATTGCAGTTAAAGAATACATACTGCAGAATACTGCAGTATTTATTCTCTTGTGTGACTAAATCCAGGCATACACCCAAATGTTCTCTTTTATTAGCAAAACTCAAATGTTCTGACCTGTGGTGCACACGTTTTTGTGCTGGGCTTGTTTCCACATATTGGTGCTCTACAGGGTGACATTAGAGAGACATATTATTACTCCCTTAATCTGTTCCAAATCCACTAAAGGAAAATAAGAACTATCCTTTATTGTTGTGTGCTCAGAAATGAAACATTTACAATTTCACTAACAGTCTCATTGGGGTCACGTAACAAACTAAATAGAATCTTAAATCAGAAAGTTTGTAAGAGGACTGTTTAAATCTTTTAATGAGATCCTACGTTTGGAGTTCTTTCTTAATAACTAGATAAATCTTTTTTTAATGCTTTTGTGTATATTTCTCTTCCATGCAAGACATTGCTGTGGTTTTTTTCTTTTCTGGCATCTCTTCCAAGTGTCTTTCAGGGTTTGTCTAGCAAATTGTTGGTATATGTGAAGAATTCCTGAAAAAAAAAAAAAGGTTTCACATAAGATGGAAGATATAACCATATGGAGGATTAGAAGGGTCACTGAGATATTGATACTAGAATCAGTTTATTACTGATATTTATCCCATTTTTCCCCCATATTCTGATTATTTTAACATTTTGTAAGAAAATTATACACAGACAGGAATCTGCAGGGTGAAGAGTGAATGAGGGCTGGACCTTGTAGGGGTCCATTAGAGGATTCATTTAGGATATAGAGAACCAGATTCAAATCCGATGTCTGTGTAGCAACTCTAATGCACCAGTGCTCATTGGTGGACTGTTGTGGAAACTGAGAGTAGGTTTAGCTTTTACTAGCATAGTCAAAATCATTTGTCATTAAAAAAAAAAAAAAAAGTCCAAAAGCAAACACACATTCCCCCTCCCCCCCCCGAATCTTGTCCTCAATTACTTTTCCTGGGGAGTATAGCTAGTTCACATATAGCTTGTTTAACCAACATAGGCTACCCTATGTTATCCTGTTGTGACATGTTTTGCAATTAGTTTTCATTATCACTTTTTGGTGCTTTATGTAAGTGAATTTCTATAAATAATAAATACATACCCAGCCCTCACTTTCACGTATTGCAACGTCACTACTACTCGGGAATTTGTAATGCCTCTTAATTATTGGTGTATTTTTACTGGTTACAGAATTTCACATAGAATTTTAGCTTAGGTTTTTTCCATGGTTGCAAAAAGAATTTTGAAATAATAAGTAAATCTTTCAGGCCCAGAAGCAAAGTCTAATGTGAAGAATCAATTATTTGTTTTAATCTCATGACTTTTACGTCTTTTTTTATTAATTTTATTGGGCTGATTTGCAGTGCTTGAAAACTTAATTGACAAAACTCCTTATCTTTTAAACACAGTATAAATGAATTAAAATAAAACCTAAGTCACAAGGAAACCTAAGTCATTAGGGTTTTTCTTTGAGTGATTCATGTCTTTTAGCAATGTTAGGGCAGTATTAGGGCAGCACCGCTTGCCATCCAGCAGCAGGCAGCCAACAGCAAGCTTCAGAGCCTGCATGAGCTGTTACTAGAACACCGATGGATCCTCATACTGCAGTAGCTGGTGTTGTTGTGTGATCATCTAAAGTGTGTGATTCACTCATATTGGATTTTTCTCCTGCAGATTGTGGGGGCTGTGGTTCAGAAATAAAAAATGGACAGTCGTTGGTTGCCTTGGACAAACATTGGCATTTGGGCTGTTTTAAGTGCAATACATGCGGCAAGCTACTGAATGCAGAGTACATCAGCAAGTAAGTTGAGGAGCGTTTGCACTCGTTTTCAGCATTTTTTAATACCAAATAATTAATTTAGCATTACATATCCTTTAGTTTTTGTTTAAGTATATTTGGAGATATATAAAAGAAAACAGATTATTATCTGAACTGTATTAAAAGCAGAAAAAAATAAAATGAAGAAAAGTAGAAGTTGAATTTGTCCATTTACCTGGAATGGTACTTGACAAAGCAGCTATGCTATAGAAAGGCAGTGGGTGGAGTATGCTTCAAAGTCCCGTAGATACACCCTTAGTTATGTCTGTTTGACTTTGCTCTATGTGACGCTGTAATGTGAAGAAGCAGATATTATCCTTTCCATATGTTTCACATAAGCAAAAATATTTTCAAAAAGTCCGTATGTATATCATGCTTTTGTGCTGCTCCAGACCCTCGTGCTGTCAAATTTGGACTGAATGTGATGACAGCAACAAGAGGCAGCACGAAGCACACACGCAGACCAAGTCCCGTGTCAACACTCCTATGAGTCCGGTGAGATATAGGGCTTTCACTGGCCAAAGCACCTGGGATTAATTTCTGCCTCAGAGAAGGATGTTGATGTGATGAAATTTTCCTAAACAGCTAAGTAACTCAATCACCAGTGCCCAGAGATGATGGAGTTTCAGAGCTGGTGTCCCACTGATTTACAACAATTCTTTGGATTTAGATTAATACAAGTGTTAAATTTAATTTCACAGCTTGCACTGAAGAAACAATATTTAGTAAAAGGGTGTTCTTAAATAAGGTTTTGCATTATCTCAAATGTTATACTACTCTGCTGTATTGTGGTACAGTACTTTTTTTTTGCATGTTATTTAGTAATAAAACCCCCATAAACTGTAAAGATACAGTAATTGTGAAATCCTTTTTTGAAAAGCTGTGTGCCAAACAAAATAACTCAAGAGAAGAAACATCCTGGCTTCAATTAATTCAATTAATTGTTGTGATAACTTGTAGGTTAGTCTCTAAGCAATCCAACTTGTATTCTATAAAATTAATTTTTATGTTTCTCTGAGGAAATGTCCAGTAAAATTATGCCTCTGCTAACAAATCTGTCTGATCATGGGCTGTTTTAGCATAACACACTAAGCATATTTAACTATGTTTAACTTGTACTTTGAAACAGGGTAAAAGTCTCCAGTTTCTTCTAGATTTATTTTCATTCATGGGTTTAGTGGTCTAAGTGTAAAACTTGGTAAAATTGTGATCTAAATGTAAAATTAGCAAATAGGTTCATTTCAGAGTAATAGTCCAAGTGTTCTGGTTTTGAATTTTTAGAATAAAAGCTAAGAGTCTTGTTTTTATTTTTCATATTTTTAAATTATACTTTATCTTAAATCACTTGTGGTGGTGAAATAACTGCTCACATCATGCATGAACGTACTGCAAGATGTCTTCTGCTGCTGAGGTTGAATTCTCGTAGTCATTACTGGCTTCTATGGAGCAGGTTCCCAAGATGGTTAATCCATGGCTGTCTTTAAGCAAGTCCAGTCAAGAATGTCAGTAGACTTAAATGTTAATCAAAGCTTGGTTTACAGTCAAGATACTCAGTTGAGAAATTACTCTGTGCAGTCTAAGCTAAAAGATAGATGATATATATATATTAGATGATATGTATATTAAATGAATTAGATGGCAAGTAAAGAGGGAAGGAATAAAATGTAGAAATAATTATTTTTTCCAAAGAGAGAGAAACACATGGACAAAGTTAATGAGTAACACTATCAAAACAAATGGTGTGAGGGTCTTGGAGACTATGTGTTGTGACAAGGAGAGAGGCGATGGCTGAACTCAGCGACAAAGCAGGAAAATGGGATCATGGTAGACTTGGAAGGGCCAGAATAGTTCATTAACAATTCAATTCTTTACAAAATTAATAAATACAAGTATCTGGGAGGTGTGAAAGTCCATAAACACCCTCTGAAGTATTGAAGCATTACCAAATTTTAGCTGTATAATCTCCCAGTAAACATGTAAGCCTACATAAAGCAATCTCTGTATGGCATGTTGTTTTTCCCTAGGGATGGTGTTCCATACTGCGAAACGGACTATCATGCAAAGTTTGGTATCAGATGTGACAATTGTGAAAAGTATATCACAGGAAGAGTGCTCGAGGTAAGGAGAACCTGTCATTCAAACACATCTCAATGTACAGAGACTTGCTCTTTTGGGTGTAGACATATGCTGACAAATGAGTGTTAATGCAACAGTTTAATGTTACTTTTATGAAATACTAGGTAATTTTTCTATATTTCTTTTTTGTTTCTTCTGTTAATGATTTGATGATACACTCTCTCCCTCAATGGGTATTTGCGGTACTGGAGAATGTTCAGGTAGCAGAAGTAATAAGTGAATGGGTTATTGGACACTAAAATGAACCATTTGAAATTTGTTTTTGCACCCTGAAATGAGCTATGTCGCAGGGATTTTTTTTTTTGAGTTTGTTGTTCTAAAAAGCAAGGAGGTTGTTTAGTGTAAGTGCGTGTTTATACTTTACATGAAAGAGATTTCCACATAACTGGCCCAGAGTCAGAAATTAATATATTCCTTTGATCTGAATAGAATTTATCCTTGGATCTAAGTGTATTGTTATCCTATCAATGTCATCAATCATCCACTTTTTCTTTCTGCCCTTTCCCTGTATCTTGTGAAGCCTTAGCAGTACTGGAGTTAGGGAGAGGTTCCCCAGGTTGCTCAGTTCACTCTTTTCTGTTCATCAGTTAAGAAAGCCTGGAGAAGTCCCAAAGGACTTCTACCAGAGAAGGATCTACTAGGAGTTGTAGAAAGACTTGACTATCCAAATGGTGGACAATTATAGCTAGGTAGGAACTGAGAAGCAAGTGGAAGGAAACAGTGAGTCCATATTAGATGGTATAATACAGTGTTGGGTTAGGCATGGGAGGCTTTTCCGTTATCAGAGGGTTTTACAGACATCTCAGAAAACAGGCTTCTAATAAGGAATTTGAAAGAGTATAAAGACAGCTTTCTTGCTTTTTGCAGATGGCTCTCTCAAGTGGGAGAGGCAAAACAGAAGAAAACATTAAAAACCCTTTAAAAATTTAAGAGTTAACCAGTGGAAGCTGCTACATGTTTTCAGAGATGTCAGCCTTTGAAAGGTAGTAAGAGGGGGCAGGCTTTGAAGGTGAAGCTAATTAACTTATATTTGATGCAATGGAGGAGAGGTGAATGCAGAGAAGCGTGTCATGGTCAAAGCTAGAGCAAATTTGGGGTGCACTTACAGCAGGTTACAGGGAGTGATTAATACTAAGATGGGAGAAGAACAGGCACTTCAATTTCTGTACTGACTCTTGGCTTCACAATACTGTGTTTTTCTGTCCAGGTTCTTGCCTTAAAATATGTACAAAAATACTATTTTTATTTGGTAGTATTTTACCCACAGTGTGGTTAAACAATAGCATGTGGTGTGATGTGATTAAGAACTGGGTCCTTATTGTCTCTGTGGATGATGAAAAGGAAAAAGAAGTTTAAAAGATCTGCATAATAACAGTGGTGAGTTGGATTTGTGGGACCTGGGGGCATGTGTGGTTCTATCTGTTTCTCATAACTGCTTGGTGAGAGCGTACTGTACAGGAGGAGAGTTCCTTGTTTGTATTGTATGTAGACCAATAACAAACTTGAGACAAGTTAATTCTTTAAAACTATTGTAGGAATTTTACCACGTCTGATTACGTATGTCAGTGTAGTTATAGGTGATGTTTTTGGTTAGTACATGTGTGCCCCCCTCCTCTCCCCTTCCCCAATGTTGCTCTGATGACAGTGCTGAGGCACTGTTTCTCTTCATACTTTTGTACTGCTGCAGGCTGGAAGTCATTGAAGTCTGCGGCATTTAACTGTGGGAAAAAATACTGGTGCAAGATTCTGAAACCTTTAAAAAAAAAAGATGAGGAGAGGACTTTCGCAAACTGTAAAAGCACAGCAGTGTCAGGTAGTGTGACTGTCAAATAGGAAAGTTAGGTTGAAGTTAGTATGAAGCAAATAATGGATTTGAGCAGATAAAATTATATTTAGTGTCTGCAGGCTTGTTACGACAACTTTATGGTCTATAACCTTCTTTTCGTAGTATTGTATAAAACAATTTGTTGTTTTGTGTGCAACAAAACTAATGAAGCTTGAATACGACTGTCCTGTGTCCTAGCATTCTGCTGTCATGATAGGTCCTGTTCCTCATGATGTCTCCCAAAATACCTGCTCCCATCCCCTGTTTCCCCATGAAATATCTTGAGAGCTTTCATTACTTTTCCACTGTCTGTTTACATGGTCAAGAGGTGACACACAGTGTGAGGCCCTTTCCGTGGTGATTAGTCTGTGATTTCCACGAGCCTTCGGACCTCTGTAAGGGATCACTTTAAATGGCCATTGAGTTTCAGTGTTGACTGTGGAGAGCAGTCAGATGAGGAGGTAGCGTGCACACCACATTTCATTAGGAAGCTAGACTAAAAGTCATGACCTAAGCAAACAGATTTGAAAGAATACAGAGGGACCATATCCGTAGCTAATGGAGTTCAGTCATTTGTTCTGCAGCAGACAGACATGTTCGAAAGGCTTGGAACTGGAGCTGATCTCTGTCTGGTAGTGAACTTGCTGTGTGTTTGTTACTAGCCAGCTTGTTGATATGTTTGTATATCTCTAGGTCAGGAGGACAGGGGGGAAAAAAAAAAAAGTAGCCATGGCTGGTTTTTGTTGTAGGATGTATTTTTTTGTGGAATTCTCTGGAATCCTGAAACGTTTTTCAAAACGTCAACGTTTCTTTTTACCATCTTGAATATACTCTGAAGATACACAGAAATAATGGGGCAAATTGCTATTAAAGTAGGGGAAAATCTTGACAGAAATACTTGTTAGGCAGAGGAAGTCTCCCAAGGGAGCTGCTGGAAGCTATCACTTAGATAGCATTAAAACAAGATTGGACAAGGCACTGGAAAATCTACGTTGGGGAACAGTCCTGCAATGACAGAGGGAGGGACTATATGACCTAATAGGATTTTTTCCATCTCTGATTTCTGTGATAATGTCAGGAGGACAGCTGCTTCCACAATTATTCTGTGCCCAGATTTTGTAGTATTGTCTCCCTTTCCAACACTTGTTAATTTTAAGTGTTTATTCAGCAGAGCAGGAAGGGAGAGTCAACTAGTGTGAATTACTGATAACTTATAAAAATATGGCTGTTTTTGTAGGTTGCTAGCCAAATACAATGATGATTTAGTTACTTAAATTCTTCCTTCAGCCCATTTTCATTCCATGTAGTAAATGGGCTTAACACAGGATAGCTCTGTTTATAATTCCTTTCTTGTTTCTTTCTTCCCCTCCAGTCCACCTTGGCTTGCCCCTAGTCTCCCAGGGAACTTGTACTGGAAAAGCTACAAAAGCAGCTGAGCAGCTAATTTACAGAGTCCATAAATTCTTCTATTGCTTTTAAAGGCAACAGTTTTGCTGTTCTTTTTACAAAAACCCTGCCCACCAGTGCTTTTTTTGGGCAAGGTTTGCTTTGCTCATGAAGCATACAGAGTCCTGTTTAATGCAACATCAGTCCTCCCCTAGAAATTAGTATGTTTTATCCCTGACCATATATGTTGATAAACCTACCATCTTAAATGGGGAGCAAGAGGTGGCTGGAGTTTACTTTATAGTTTAACTTAAAATGCAGTGCAACTGAAAACCTTTAGGGAGAAAAAGGATATATTTTAGTGCTTATACTATAGTTTTGTTCCCAGTCCAGCAATAGCTAAAATCATGCAATTACACAGAAAATAAACACATGTTAAAATAACAAGCTGTTGATTTTTATAACCAGCCATTTTGTTGTGTTGCAACCTATTTCTCTGCATTTGGCACTAAAAATATTTTTTTCTCTCTTTTTGTATCACAAGCAGTTTTTTATTAAATAAAATGCAACTTGTGCTAATAAGCGTTACATAAAAATAGACAAAATAAGTGTAATTCCCTTTTCTCTAAAAATATACAGTATTTCACATATTAATTCAGAGCCTGACAGAAACTGCTTTCAATCAGGAAAACACTTTCCGTTTGTTTCATGATTTTTAATCAGTCTCCTAGCTGTTTTTTGCTGGGAGGAGGCAGTGGTGGGTTGTCTATCTCCTGGTCCTTCCCACACAGCAGGCCGTGCAGAGGCTTGGAAGGCTGTTGAGGTGTGTGGAGGAGCTGTGTGACAGGCAGTGACTCCTCCTGGTCCCCTTTTGGGGAGCATGCATGGGTTTCCTTAATATCTGATATTTAGAAACTTTCTCTCGGTTCCAGCACCTCTCTATTTTAAAGTGGTCTGTGTATAGTTAGTATTTCTTTGGATACAGATTGATTTTTAGCTTTTTTATCTTCTCCCCTTTAATTGATGAACTCTAAGGAGAATTTAGAGAGAACAGTCTTAGTTCCTGTCAACTTTTATTTTGCAAAACTGAATGAACCAAATTCTCTTCTGATTGTAAGTCAGCTCCAGGCTCTTCTGGTAATGCTGGTAATGCTCAGCATATATTCCTAGCTGGAACTGCCTTCTCTCAGCATGGATGGACATTGTGCTCCAGATGATGCGTCACCACTACCTTGTGCAGTGATAGTAATGCCTTCCACTGTGTCTACAGAAAGTACTTTTCCTGGTATATGTCGCACTGAGTGTGGTTTTTTCCTGTGGCTTCGTTAACATTGCCAGCCTGTAGCAAGATATGATTTGGGGAGTTTTCTCTTCATCTGCTGTTTCAGCTAATGATTTCCTGTGTTGTGGAGGAAGCTTTGATATCCAAAAATAACCTCCTGGGGTTTTGATGGCAAACTCAGTATAGGCTGTGAGAGGGTCAGGTGTGATTGCTTGGATAGGCAACTGCAGCCCAGTGCCGTCCAGGCTGAGCTGCCTCATAGCAGGCCTCTGCAACCAACTCTACTGGTAGCTGATGAACCAGATGGATCTCTACTGCTACTAGCTGGTGTTTTGAATTTCATGTGAATAAAAGTTGACAGTGTAGCACATGGGAAGTTATGCTTTTGGAAAAGTCTCTTGGGGCTTATTTCATAGAATCTTAGAATAGTTTGGGTTGGAAGGGACCTTTAAAGGCCATCTAGTCCAATGCCCCTGCATTGAGCAGGGA